TTTTTTTGTTGCTGCTTTGCGAACGATCTCGGAAGATCTCGCGAGACGGAATCGATCCGGCGTGAGATTTAAATTGGGAAACCGTGCCGGGCCGATACGCGTCCCGCTGCGTCTCTCTGTTGCCGTCTCGCATAGTTGGGAAAGAGAAAGGGAGAGAGAGAGAGAGAGAGAGAGAGAAACGGTGATTAAAAATAGCTACGTGTCGAGTGAGGGCGGTGTAAGAGGGTAGTGGAGGTTAAGGGAACGATTAAAGTTAGAGAGAAAAAGGGAGATGAGATTATCCCCACGTGGCGATTGTTACTCTCCCGCTCTCTCGCCGAGGAAATTAACGATTCCTGGATTACCGGTAATTCAGTGGCAAAGTGATTTCTGCGCCAGATACCTTTCAGTAGGAGAAGAGGAGAAATTTTATTTCGTTATCGCGAATCGTCTGCTCCTTTTCTGGCGGCCTTTGATTTAAATTCATTTAGAAAGTTCAACAGTAAATATTCTTCGACTGGCTACACTGAAAAATTAACTTGTTCCGTTAATTTCGACGAGCTAAAGAATTTCTTTTTTCAAGTTGCTAGTTGTGCGAATTGAACGAAAATGTTTCCACTGATTTTAAATTTTGTTCACGTTGCTCAATGCAAATCTACGGAGAAACTATATGGAAATCGACAATTAAATAAACTATCGTTTTGTCAGGAATAACAAACTATAATTCTATGTTTCTATAAAATTATACGGTTCTACGATTAAACTTTGCAAATTTCTTTTTCTTTTTCTTTTTGCAATTTCAACACCAATTCGATTGAATAACGCGAATAAAACTGATAAATCCTTCCACCTGGCCAGGGACACTCTACTTAAAACTCGTCCTCCGTCTGATCAAGCGCTGATACGAACTACTTACTCGCATAATACCTCTCTCTGATTCTCATCGTTCGAATGATTTTTCACGAAAAGCGTTAATTTCTTTGAATTGTACATTGTCGGTGGCTCGTTTCAACGTTCCAGCGTTCCAATTTCACAAAGCTCGTGCACACAATTCCCCGTTTGTTTCCAACACGACTCACAAACAACTCGCAGGACGGTAACAAACATTTGGCTAAAAAGTCAAGTCTCGAGTTGAAACACGCCCATTGAAGCAACAGAGCGACTAGTTCCACGGTTTCCCAATCGAACGGCGCGTCGAATCGACGAATTACGTGATCGTGATAGTTTCGCGTCGACGGGACGACGACGACGACGACGAGTCGTTTAATCGGGTGGTGATTTGATTTCCAGCTGCCACAGCGCCGGATATTGGTGAACGACGGGCACGAACCACTCGGGGCCCCCATAGAGAGGGCCCCCAACCGGAAGAGGCCGCCGCAAGGCGGTCAATCCATCAGGTAAGCGATCCTTCTCGATAATTCTGAACGTCCGCCTCGCTTGTTTCTCTTTCCTTCCATCCCGAGTAACCCCGAAGAACGCCGAGTCCGCCCTCGAATAA